AGAATTGTAGCTTAGACTAAAAGCAACAAATCTGTAAGACAGATTTTTTTTAAATTTATTTGTTTGTAAGTTATAAGCATTTTATATTTATATATAAAAAGTGGATATTTCTCGCTGTCCGGTACTGTACTACGGATAATATTGAATATACTGTGCAAAACAATTGTGTTTTTATTTTATAAATACAGAGTTCATTTTATATTGCAATGTACGTAGCTTATATAACAAGTTAATGTAGTAATGCTTGTGAATTAAAAAGCAGAGGTGCTTGTGAATTAAAATATAATAATGTCTGTGAATTAATATTTACTTAACTACATAAAATCGCTATATAAAATTTATTATCGTTCGTTATAAATTTGATGCCTCGGTAATCGTGTGGTGGGTCGGAAGATCACGTGATTGCGCCCTCGATTTGGTGGTAACGCTGGGACTGTTGCATAACCCATAGCATAAGCTAGCGATCAGTAGTGATGTATGAGTGATTAGTTTTGATGTATGATTGATTTACGGATTGAGTGATCGTATGAGGTAATAGGTAAGGGCTATTTAAGTGGAATGAGTAGGGTATTTGTTCTTCCTCTTTTGTCTTTGCTGCTAGCTCGACGGAAGTCTAGCTTTGTCGAAGTGCCCGCCCACCACTGATAGCAGCGGGAGATATAAAGGGATAGGATAGTGAGGTTTAATTAATCATGAGTTTGAGTTTTGATAACCGGGTAGACCGCCCGGATATCGAAGAGAAATAGTTGATAGCCGATCAGACAGATCGGATGTCAAAAAGGAAAAACGAAAGTTTAAAATTATTTTTTATAAATTTGTTCCTTTAAATTTGTGATGGAACCATAATGAAGAGAATTTCCAGTCTCGGATCACGGACTAAATTGGCAGTTTCATCTGTCTACAATGAAATCAATTTCTGTGAAATCCATACGTTATATTTTTATAAATTCTGCATTGGTTATATAAAAACCTCAAATATTCATAAAATCTCTTGAGCCGTTGAATATTCGGCGAAACGAGATTTTACTTGCGGATCAGGGTATTTTGATTAATACTGCACCATGTATCTTGATATAATAATAGTTGAGATATTATTTCGGGTACCAACCAAAAACTTTAGCACGGCACTAGTGATTATGGGTTATTGTGACGCATGGATACGTCAAAGGTTATAACGAACCTCATGGGTTAAATTCGCTACAGTAAAATTTTAAATATTCACTTCACAGGTTTTCCTTTTGTGGCGGCATCATATATTAAAGAAACAAATGACAAACCGTTTGTTCTTAGTAGTAAAAATAAATCAAAATTACTGTATTCATAAAAATTTATTGCAAAAGATATAAGTTTCATAAAATAGTTAAGATTTTAAATAGTATAAGTGTGAAAATCTTTCAATAACATGCAAAACTTTTAAAATCTACGCGACACTTTAGTCATCAAAGGTTCTTTCATAGGCAATGTGATAGACTTTTGAAATTCTGGTGGAGATTTTTGGCCAGGAACTAGTTCAAACTTAAATTCTCTTAGCATCATCGTCACAAGAATTATTGCTTCAACGGTTGCGAAATGTTGCCCCAAACTATTTATTAAAAAGGTTAAATAGAGAATCCAACTTTGTTAAAGAAAAAAAAAAGGCAGTACACTTAAACATTTTACCAGGTTCTAGGTCCAGCATGAAACGCAATAAATTTAAATTGATTTGGTTTCGACATATCTTCAGATCTTAAAAATCTTTCAGGTTTAAAGACTTTTGCATCTTCACCCCAGATCTTTTTATCTCTTCCCAACGCCCAAGGAACATATACTACAAATTCGTTGGCACATACAGGAATGCCATTTGGTAGGATGTTATCTTTAACACAAATCTTTCCGAAAAACAAAATTTAAAATTAAATATTATATTTTACAAAGTTTAATAAAACAAATTTTATCACACTTTATGAATTACCTTGCCATTTTTTGGAACACTAGGATATAATCGCAAGGTTTCATAAAATGTTGCGTTTGTATATTTAAATCGTTTGACATCATTATATGATGGAGTTGGAGTTTCTGGCGAAAGAATAGAATTGATTTCTTTTAATAAAGAATCTTCAACAGATGGCTCTGTCATTATAGAATACATCATCCAAGACAGTGCCTATTATCAAATCTTGATGTTAGTATGCATAGCATGATAATTTTTTAAAGTTATATTTATAATCATTGAACAAATCTTACTTGTGCCGTAGTATCCCGACCTAAATAACAAAAAAAGCATTAGAAAATCCAAAAATAACAAAGCATTCAATGAGGTCTTCATCGAAACATACCAGCAATAATGAGATTCAAAATGATGTCTTTTAATTCTTTATCACTAAGTTTCTTTCCATCTTCATTAACAGCATTAATAAACAAGGTTAAAAAATCATTTGTTTTTTTTCCAACTTCAATTTCTGTTCTATGATTATTTATTATATGATGTATATAATTATCCATATTTTTGCAAGTTTTACGTGTTTGTCTGCCTCTTTCGCTATACAATTCAATATATTTCCATAAAGGTTGTTCCCATCGCCAATCTATAGTTCTTTGAACATTATCAAAATCAATGGCAAACTGAACTGGTTTTTCAGGGGAGGTTAAACAACCAAAGTCTACACTGAAGAAGACGCTTTTCATATATATATATATAATCATATTATGTAATTATAATTATAAAAAGACGATTAACATAAAAATTTTTATAAAAGTTAATTATTGAAAACATTAATGAAAAACTTACTCCCCTAAAGTATCCAGGGTGAATCTATAAAACAAATCTTGTAAATCGATTGGTTTTCCGCTATCGGCACATTTCTGTAAAATGTTTAATACAATTCTAGACTTTTCTATCATACTTATAGATATAAGGTCTTCGAAATGTCTTTCTTGAAATAAGTGACTTAATAATTTTCTTTGAAATTTCCACTTAGGTCTTTGTAAAAAAATGAAAAAGCTTAATTACTGTGTTTAATTATATAGATAAGATAAATTTAAATATATAGCCAACTTCTTCTAAGTAAACTTGCGGGGAATTTAAAAAAAAATTTAACACACGTCATACTGACAAAGAAGATTTCCGATATATCCAGTTATTGTTCATGTGATATAATCATGTAAAATTTGCTTTGATATTTTTGTAATAAAATGGCATCATCATTTTATGCAAAATGTCACGACAAAAAATTTCACATGCCAGTATAATATGAACAATAATATCGATATTGACATACGAAAATAACAGAAAATTTTCATCGTATGCCCGATATCTTATAAATATCGGCTTAACCAGAGGCATTTTCATATTAAATATATATTCAAAATTTAAAAAACGTCGTTATATCCGGATGTCGTTATAACCAGAATGACGTGTACAAATCCTGAACTCAAAGAGCATTTAGGGAGAGTTTTATTAGGGTTGCATTTAGAGGTAATTCACTTAGAAAAAATCGAATGTATATTGAATAAATTTAACAAACCCATCAACAGCAAATATTCCATCGCCGAATAGGTCATACATTAATTCATATAAAATGTCACCTTTTTCAAAGCATTCAAAGTTCGCTAATAATAGACAGACAATTAATAAAATGCCTTTCTAACTGTTCATTTTTAATTTAACGTGAAAGCACACTTTTGAGCATATGTTCTAATAATTGTGGATCATTAATCATAATAAATCGGCCTTTTTTTGGAAGAGTAAACGTACTATTTTACAAGAAACAAAGGTTATTATCATAAATAATTCTGTTCATGAAATTTAAATACATAACTTTTCTAGAAGTAATATAAAACTTACAAGACAGGACCATACTTGTCGATCAGATCAAGAACATAATAAATATATCCTTTACTTCTTATCAATGAAATAAAATTTCCGATAATTGGAAAGCCTCGAGGACCCTTAAGCTCTGGCCTTGCCCTTACACCTATAGCACGATCAGGATACTTTATTACAAGATAAATGATATAGCTTACAAGAGTAAGTAATATTATAGTGAAAATAGCCATGATGAGATTGTTATTATCATGTAAAGTAGATATGGGTATTATGGCGAGGTTAAGAATAGCTAATAGTAGACATAATTTGCTTTAAACCACCAAAAAAAATAAACCCAATTTCATCTAAAGGCGATTAAAATTGTGGTTTTTAATGACTATGGGTATGATGTACATTCAATAAAATCAAGAAGGCATTTACGAAATCTGTGCTGTTATGCATGATTTTACAGGTAGGATCGTCCCAAATTAGGAGATGATGATCCCGATCATGCATATTAGATTTAGCCAATAAAATTGTAAA